AAGGTTATAATGCAAACATTACAGATGTGAATGTATTGTTTTAGCCTGTCAAGAAGATTTTTTGAAATGAAGCATAACTTGTATGGAATTGTCCCCATCATATACTCTTAAAGTTTAACAGTTAAGGCTTAGCTAGCTATGGATGGTGACAGTGTAATGGACAAGATACATAGGTCGAGTTCCATCTGTTCGGGTTTAGAGTTAGAGTTGTCTTGTCTTTTTCCTTAAGATGATTGTCATGGGATTAGTGAGCAACATCCTGACCATAAACATATGTTACTTGACCCTTAAGTTGACATCTATTTGATATGAGAGTTTCATATCGGAACTATAAATCATCAGCATAGCTCGCAACTTTATTAGATAGGGAATAACATAACATACATCAATATCATATATATATTAAAACATCGAAAAAAAAAAGTGATGAAAAATTGCATATTTATTATAAATAGTTTTATGAAAAAAGTTATAAAAATAAAAAAAAAGTAGTTTGAGTAGTTTACATACTACTCAAATTAATTATGAAATTTATGTAAATTTAAATTTAATCGATGATTCATAACTATTCGTAATATATGCATTTATTTATATTGCAAAAAGAAATAAGCTAAATTTGTCCTATCCTATTTATCGTGATAAATAATCGGAACAGAATTTGAATGAATTTTCTAGATTTTTTCTTCTTTTTTTTTTTATCAGATAGAGAGAAAAAAAATTCCAAAAACTAATGTTGTAAAAATATTGCTTTCAAAAAAAAAAAAAAACAAAAAATTTTGGAATAATAAAGATAGAAATTTTATCAAAAAATGCTACAAAAAATTTGAAACTTTCATATTTAATAAATTTGTAAAATTTTTTTTTAATTCAAAAAATTTGATATATTTTTATGAAAAGAAAATCCTAAATAGATATTACATATATTTTACTTCAATTCTTTTGGTAAAATAAAATATTTATGTAAATTGTTTTCTCAAACCCTTTTATATTACAGTTTTCTTTTTTTTTTTTTTTTTAAATTTTGCATATTTCGAAATTAAAAGAATATTTTAGCATTATATCATTGATCGTTGTTGGTTAATGCTTCTTATCACTGATATTATCAGATGCATAACTCACTGTTAAAAATTTCGTTATCAGTAAGAAGCAAAAATCGAAAGAAAAACTGGTGTGAGATAAAAAAAATTGAAAAGCTGATATGACTCATAAAAATCATTATTTACTTTCTGAACTGATTTAAACACATTTAAATCAAACTTTTCTTCATAATTTAATTTATTAAAACCATACAAATCTATTTAGCTAACAAATCGATTATCATTCATTTTTAATCTTTAAGTCTCAATTTTGGTGTAATTTGATTTATAAATTTAAAAATTATTGTAATTTAAGTAATTGACTTTATTAAATATTTGTTGATTCAAATTATTTATTTTGTTAAGTATTTGTTAAATAATATTTTTGTCCTTTTGCATTATTTATCAAATTATCATTGAGCCTAACGTTTAGCATTCATTTTAATCAAATTTTCTCATCTTCGTTTTATTGTTGAGGATAAATTAACAAAACTAAATGATATGATAATGAGAAGATAACGACTGGTAATAATGATAGTAATACGAATAATCGATCGTCATTGATCATGGAAATCTCCTAAATTATGAAGGGGAAGAAAGAAAAACGTTGGCGCCCTCTGTGGGACTCGAACCCACGACCCTCAGATTAAAAGTCTGATGCTCTACCAACTGAGCTAAGAAGGCCCTGCGGGTGTTTTCGAATTTTCGAATTAGGAAACTTTTCCAAAATGTGTCAGTACTTTTTTTAAACAATAATTTAAAAATGTTTTTGTACTTTTTCTACACGTTTTGCACGTAACACGTTTTCGTTAAAACTTTTTTTTCTTTCTACATGTTACAGATTTTTTTTTAAAAAATATTTGATATTTCAATTATTTGTGCTTCTTTTTTTTGGAGATATTAAATTTAAATTTATGTTTTATTCTATCAATTTATTTTAATTATATTTCAACTTTTAAATTTTTAATTTATTAATTCACAAAGTAAGATACATATTTAAATAAAGAAGAGAAGGGTTTTTTGATAAATGAAAAGAATGTAATGAACAGGTGGAAAACAACTGTTCACTCATAAACAATTCTCATCCATCTATCTGACCATATCTATCCATCTATTCATCTATTCATCGATCCATCGATCAATGAAGCAAAGAGCAATGCCAATATTTTCATTTCCCTGTTGTAATATTATTAGCAAGAGTGGAAGGAGGGAACTATGAAGTATTTAAATACAGCGGATCGATTTTTATTTTGTTTTCTTGAATTAATCCTTTTAGCATAGCATTCATTTATTTAAATCTTTCAATAAAAGATAATCTAAAGAATTAATTACCTAATTAACATTAAATTATCTAATATTATCAAAAAGCAATTTATTGATCGAATAATTCCCTATTCCACTTTCATATTTAACCGTTCTATACATTTGCAATAAAACATAATGATTTATTTCCTCTAATTTCTTCGTGTATTTGTAATTTTCAAAATTTATTCTACTATATATTATATTAGCTATTATTTGTATGCAAAAATTGTTTCATTTTAAATTTGCATTTCAGTAATTAAATTTTGGTTGCAATTTCTTAAGCGGTAAATAAAATTCAATCTTCATTTTTAAATATTCGTGGATTATCCAAAATGCTATACCTACGAACTTATTTTATTCTCCTCTCTACCATCCTTATTGTTTTCTTTGCTAATCTGTCATTAACAAGTGACATTTCTGGTAAGTTCCATTCACATAATGTAAAATTACGAAAAGAATTAATTGCAGCTGCTACGATTATTTCTTGTAGTAGTAGTAGTAGTAGTAGTAGTTGTTGTTGTTGTTCATGTTGTTCTTGTTGTTGTTGCTGTTGTTGTTGTTCTTTTTGTTGTTGTTGTTGTTGTTGTTGTTGTTATTGTTGTTGTTATTGTTATTGTTATTGTTGTTGTTATTGTTGTTGTTCTTGTTGTTGTTGATGTTGCTGTTGTTGTTGTTGTTGTTGATGTTGTTG